CCAATGGTTTCTGCATTTATATTTTAATATTCCTTCCTAAACAAAATAATAACATTGGCAATCATTTCATCATCAGTAATATTTCCAGTTTCAACAAACTGAAGATTTAACTGTTAAAAGTCTGTACTGACTCTTATTCTCTGGAAACTTTACAACAGAAGTTAATTAATGAGAAATCTCTCCTCATCTTCAAAACACTGTTTAGAATACATTTTTTTTCTTTAACAATAAAAACACAAGTTTGTTTATTAAGCACAAAATTACACAAGAGGGGCTATCTGTACTGTTTCCACCACAAGTACTGAAACCCAGATTTTATCATTGTGAGCCCACAGACTTACCATTGAGCTATTTAGGGAGGGGCCAAAACTTCAACCATATTCTTTATAAATACTATCCTTGATTTTCTTTTTTGCAGTTAACACACGCACACAAAAAGCTTCACAAAAAGTTTTGAGATAAGATAATTCAAGATAGTTTTACCAACTTTTTTTTTGTTAAACCTTATCATCCTTCATTGTTCAAGTACCTGTTATAATCTTGTAAAGTTAACATGTTACATATTTCCATGACTTATTTTACCACTGATCCATTTAAGAATGGACTTTTCATTGGAATGAAAATTTTTCCCTCCCCTCGAGTTTGAGCAAATTTCACTGAACTAATAAAACAATTCCAAACTTCATTACTATTTATTCCATTTAGGTCAACCAATAAATCTTTTCAAAATATCGTGGAGTTTTTGAAAAAATCACTTTTTGGAACACAAAGACAGGACACAGGCCTGATCATGCCCCAAGAAACTTGTGTGCTGAAACATGTGGCGAAGATAACTAATTGTGGTATATTACTTTTATCAACATATAACATTGCTCACTTATATCTTTTTGAAACTGTGTATAAAATGCTCTGAAATATAATACAGAAGTAAGTATATTCTAACTCATTCTTTCACTTAACCCTAGAATTATCAATGGAGATTCAATGAATACCATTGCATTTTTCAAAAACATTTATACACCAAATGCTTGTGGGTCTACGAGATATAGAGAAGTTTCTTACACTAACGGTAACTTCTAGCCTTCTTCTTGCCAAAACTTTAGTTACTGTTTGCATCACTCCCTCATCTCTGAAAACATTTCCCACCTTTCAACACCAAATTGGGTCAAACTGTTGTAGCTGGAGAACAACGTAATGCAAGGCTTCCCATCAAAATCTGTGGACTGATTTCTTTAAATAATAAGCTTATTTCATTTACAGCAGATGAGATATTCTCATATGAACTGTTTCCTGATGTCTGAGTAATTTTTTGGTTATTTCTTTAATCTGTTTAAGCCTGAAAACTCATCCTTTTGGTGTTATTTCCTTGCTGTATTAACAGCTGTAATGGTCAGGTTTCCCACATCTATGACAGTTCCCTCTTTCTGGTATCCTTTGGGAGGAATTTTTTTTCCCTACTAATTTTTGTCTGCAGTTCCTGACAATATGTCCTTGAAACACCAAATGTCTTGTGCTTTATTTCCTCTATTCTGTCTAAATAATCTTTTCAATTCTTCTAAACTATCATCAGCAGGAGTTGATATTTAAATACTACTCATTTTGATAATCCCATCACATCTAGTTGGTGCCATTAGTTGTTTATCAGCAACTATAATGATTCTAGTGTCATCATCAACTGCAAAGCTTCCTTTTGAAGATTAATACCTACTCTGCTTTAACCTAATCCTCATCTGTTATGGAACCTATAAATTGGTCATATACCAATGTATCCATCATTTTACAGAAAGCATCCAGGTCAAACCTTTCCAAATCTCCTACAAGTTCAGTTAAGGTATCTTCTTTCCACCATACCCTGTTCCAGAACTTTGATTTGGATACTTCCTTCTGGTGTGTCACTCCAAACCTGCTGTATATGGCAGCTATTAATCCTTGGTAGTTCTTACGTCTCTCAGCTGGAAGGTTATTCAGTGTTGTTAAAGTTGATTTTTTTTAATGGGCAGCAAGATGAATAAGTTGTTGTTCACTCTTCCACCTACTCATTTTGGAAATGATTTCAAAATGACCCTGGTATACCTCCCACAGTACCTTTCCATCAGAGTCCATTATTTTCTCAACAGGCTGATGTTGAACTGGCTAGCTAAATTCTGGACCCGTATTTGGTAGTGTCATGGCTGGAGTAGACCAGGAATGTCCTATAGAAGAGATAGTACAACAGTAGTGGTAAGAGGAGCAGACCAAGTAAGTTCTCCTACACCATATTTTCTATAAGATGCTGTTTTAGGTGGGTACTCTTGGGCCAATGCAGAAATAGATGTGGCTGGTTTGATCTTTAATACTTCATTTTCCAGAAGTTTATGTTATTTCTAACGTTCTTTCCCACATCACCAATGTCTTTCTTTCTTTACTTCACTGATTTTGTCATTACAGCCTCCCTGTACTTCAATCTCTGTACATCTACAATAGTTTCGTTTATCTTGTCTTCAATCAGATTTATTGCTGAATTGTAGATTACTTCTGACACTACTTTCATGATGTCAGGAAAACATGCATGTTCAAGAAATCAATTTAACACAAAAATACAATACCCTATAACCTGAGTGCTTTTGAATAGTGGACTTTTCTTTGTCAGGGGCAAACTGACATCAATTTGTTACAATCATCTTTTTTTCCCACTTCACTTTCCCTTCAACTTTATTGAGGCCTTACTCATTCCTATCAGAAATTGATTCATATAAGTAAACATAAAAATTTTTTTGTTTACATCTGTAATCAACAACACAGGTTTAGAACTAGGTCTTGTTCTTTACTGGCTGTATATTACTTCTTCCTTCACCTCTCTCTTAGTTTATTCAGTCTTTCTCACATATCCAAGTATTTTTTCTTCTCTTTTATTAAACACCTGTCTTTTATATTTCTTGTTTTTATAATCACATCTACTTCCTTTATATTAAATTACAATGTATCATAGAGGCTCCTTTATGTCTGTAGTGGCTAAACAAGAAAGGTTGCCAATCCCTCCAATAATATGCTAATGAATTATTGCTGTAATCCCTTAGGGAATGACCAAAAGTTTGCTGCTTTCTCACCTCTCTCAACCCCAACCAATGCCCCTTACCCCTAACTTCATAACATTTTTATTTGTATTTAAATAGTATGTCTCTCTCTCTCTTTTAACTTCTCTCCTAAGTTCCAATCTCTTTCTTCTTGACCCTTTTTTAATTGTTTCATTCTCTCTCTAGGAAAGCTTCTTCTGAATCTGGTTGCCTTGTTGAAAATGAGCAAACTTATATTTTATTTTCACCAAAATAATCCCACTTCTGATACGTGCTGTAACATTGTTCTTTTAAATTATTTGGTGAAAATATGGCCAATTCTAGACCATATAATGATGAAAAATTGGTTCATTTCTTCCTTAAACTACAGATTACTATCACTTGTACACTGTTATACTTGTAGGCCTAAGTTCACAAATAATATTTTCACTTTCAACAGAGATTTACTCATTAATGGTACTATGACTAAAATGCAAATACTTATACAATTTTATGGCTAATTGAGTAACTGAATATATGCAATAACTAATACTGATCCAAAAACTCCACTGAATGACTGGCATTCTACCAACTGTAAAATTGATTCAATGTTTCACTGATTTTCATATTTATAATTTTACCTTTGTAAAGTCTGTCAATCAGTAATTTTCATGTAAATTCTAGGTATTCTAGAATTACTTTTATAAGCTTAATTGATCTTAACGTCATGTATCCTCTAGGTAACATCTAAATTAAAACAATGAAAATACAGTTTATACCAGAAACTATAGATACATTATACCTCAGTTACATATTAATGTTTAGGCTTAGGACATGCCAACATTAGGCCTAATATGTAAAATGGTCATATTTATAGCAAATATTGTTAAAAGTTGTTTTACTGGCAAATGTAAAATCATATTCCAGTTTCTTTTCAAAATATAAAGCATTTAAGCAGCTTTGCATTAGAAAAAACTTACATAAAATTTGCATTTTCAGTTGACAAATTCTGTACTAAGGTTAATCAGCAGATTATAAACACTTTTTTCAAGACAAAATTACTTAAAACTCTTCAAATATGTATTTATTGCAAAGATCTGCCCAAAATATCTATCAATGTCATATAATTTAAGATGTCTTAATAAAAAATTTTAAAAACTTGGTAAAGTGAACAAACACCTCTTACATACACTTTACTTTCTTTAGTTTATATAATAGTTCCAGTTCTACTACCTGAAATTATTCAAATATTAAACAATGGAAATAAATTATTGTATTACAATTTACGTGACAAACTAACTTAATAATATATTTGTGATCAGAACATTGGTTTCAAACTGTGATGAATTAACTGTATACAAACTTATCTACACAGACTAACTTTGTTACATATCTATGTACTATGCTTTAAAACTGCTTTACCTTTAAGAGAATATATATACATACAATAGTTAATATTAAGCCTACCACACAAAAATATAACGAATAAACTACACAATCAAATCACTGTATTAAACTACTATGTGCAGAAGTAACAGTCTATCTTTAACTTGTATTACTAATACTAAGTTACTGTGAAGTGTTAGTCTTAACTCATGATCAATCGCCGAGTCTTTGTATATTTACAACAAATAATTCTCAACATTTACCTTAAACTAAAGTTAACCTACGAAGTGTTCACTAAAATTTTATTCATAAACGTTTATCAGTACCTTCTTTCTACCATGACTATAATTAAAACGTTTTGTTTACAAATCTTAAAAAAAAAGAGTTCAAATCAAATGTCACTGTCACAATGTCAGTGTCATGCTGTACTATTAATGTCACGTACACTACAGACTTGTATTAGCACAACTACGAGTAAAGGAATGGCGTAAGCCGTAACGCTAAAACAGTAATATAACATCAATAAAACTAATCATATTCGTAACACAGTTTCATACCCATATAGTCGAAATAACAATGTACCGTTTACTGCAGCATTTCATACAAAGAACAGTAGTCTACAACGTAAAACTTTTACCAAGTAAATAAAGCCACGGCATCACGAATTGCTCCAACTACACAAGACAAGAACCAAGGATAAACAGACCAGCTGTCTCCAATAGCACTCCAGTACCCCGCTCTCTTTATTTCTCTAGGTGAAACTTGTTTTTCAACAAGAATAATGGTGGAAGGAGTCTTCGGTAATATTCGGTAGAAAACGCATCGAACTCGGAAATGGAATTTTCTAAAGCTAGATGTCTATATTCAGTATCAAATTTCTTCGATGTATACACACATAAATTTCATGTATATATATCACAATTAGTGTCTTTATTCTAATCATAAAATCAATTGTTCCACGCACAATCAATCTACAATAATAATTGTAGTTAAAATCTGATTTTGAATGAAAAAAAACATTTTTTAATGTTTTTCTTATCTTATGCATAAGTCTGCAACTACATAAACTTCAATTTCCAATTAGTTTGTTCCAGATATTCACGCAAAGATACACCACAAAGGTTGACTGCACAACCTGTCCGTAGTGTTTTAACTGATATAATAGAGGGAAGGCAGCTAATTAACAGCACCTATCGCCAACTCTTCTCTGACCAAATACGAGGAACTGACCCTCACCTTTATAAAACACCAATGACCCCAAAATGTAGAGAGCGTTTTTGCGACAATGGGATGTCAGCCATGAACTCTCAGATTCACAGTCCGACACACTAATAACTTTAGACAATACAGAACTCACCAAAAAATATATAATAATGATAAGTAACATGAATGTAAGGTTTGTTTGTTATTCAAAATTATTTATTTTGCCAAAAACAGTCCACGTTTGTCCCCCGGTAAGACAACGGTAAGTTTACGGGCTTAAAACGCTAAAAATCAGGGGATTGGTTCCCCGCGGTGGACACAACAGGTAGCCCAACGTGGCTTTGCTCTAAAACAACCAACCAACCATTCCGGTTCCGTAAAAAAAAAAAAAAGTAAAAAGACAGAGGCACAGGGGTATGTCTGCGAACTTACAACGCTAGAAACCGGGTTTCGATAGCCGTGATGGGCAGAGTACAGATAGCCCATTGTGTAGCTTTGTGCTTAATTACAAACAAACAAATAACAGAGGTGAACACTAATTAGAATGAAATATCATATTATATTCTTTCTAATTCACCCATACAAATTAAATCTTGAAATCGAGTAAAACAAATTATCCAGCATTTAAAATGTTTTTAAAAACCTGTAGTTTTGCAGAGATATGTTGACTACTTAGTGTGCTTCGTTAACATCTGATAAGTTATGCTCATTAGTTATCTCAAATTTCATTACTTTTACAGCTTCTTGATTAAGCTGATAGGAAAAAGACCTAGGCAAAGTTATTACAGTCTCTAAAGCTTTTTATATGATGTACGTTAGCTAGTAATAAGGTGAATAGGATTTTAGGCTATACACATGTATACATGGTATCCTAACCTATATATTTTCAAAGATTTACTTTAGTTGTTTGCAAGAGTTTGTTTGTTTTTGAAGTTAAGCACAAAGCCACACAATGGGCTATCTGTGATCTGCCCACCACGGGCAGTTTGCAAGAGAGGGCTGCTAAAATGATGATGACGCTAGACTTAGAAATTTTATAAAAGTAGTCCTAGAATGATTAGAAGGTTCGTGAATGTTAATGATCGAGAAATTTTGCGAAATATCTAGAAACAAGGATATATTATAGATACGAGAATTGGTGAATCATTGAGTTAGTTTCAGTTCGTTTAGTGGTTGAGAATTTAGTAAAGTATTCAGAACAGTGTCAGTTATCGAGTATATTCGGTTACTCGATCGACTAGCCATGAAATTGTACAAGTTTATTTGCAAGTTAGTCATACTACCGTTAGGCGGATAAATTTCCATTGAAAATGAAAACGCTATTTATTAATTTAGGCCTACGAATATAACTGTTTATAAATGATAGTAGCCTGTGGTAAACTTTACGAAATTAGTAAACTAATTTGTTATTGTTACATGGACTAGATTTCACAATATGTTCACTAAGCAATATAAAATGGACCACCGAACGATAGAAATGGTAAAACACATTACAACAGCTTGTGTCAAAAGTGGGATTATTTTGGTGAAAATTAAATATAACATTAAGTAAACTCTAACTTTCGAAATGACCTTGAGAAACGATATGGGAGATTTACTGGAGTTAATGAAATAGCTAAAAGAATGTCTAGATGCGAGGGAGAAAAAAAAATAAAATCAGAAAAAGAATGAGACAGAAACTTATGACAATAACAAAAAGAAATGAACAGAAAATTAGAAAAACGTGACAAGAAATTAAAAGAATACTAAGTGGTTAGAGACAGGAAGTTTATGAGAGGAATTAAAAGTAAGAGATGTACTATTTAAGTCAAAATTAAAATAAAAAATAAATATGATTGAAAACATGATCAATGAAATTATTGGAGAAGTAAAGAAAGACATCAACAAATTAAAAAAAAGAATATCATTGAAATAAAAATGGACATTAGTGACAGAATAAAATGTTTGGAAACAAATGATTAAGTGCAAAGATTAAACCAGACACATCTTTTTTGTAGCTACTTAAGAGTTCCAACCTAAAACACCATGTACTACATAAGATGGAGTAGAATAACTTACTTGGTCTAAATTTATTACAACTGTTGCTGTGTCATCTGTAATACAGGATCTTCTTGGACTACTCTGGCCATCTCTAAATCCAGTTCCAGAACTATATGTTGATCAATTCAACCACTCTGCCTGATCGAGAAATTAATGGACTATGATGGAAAGATATAATTGGAGGCATATCAGTCACAGTTCGAAATAATTTCCACATAGAACAGTTGGAATGGTGAACAAGAAGCTATTCATTTTCATGCCCATATAAAAGGACCTAAGCTAATGGTAGTAAGTAACCTTCCAGCTAAGAATGGTAACAATTATCAAGTATTTGTGGCTGCCTTATCCAACAAATTTGGAGTGCCACACCAGAAGGAAGTATCTAGAGCAAAGTATATCAATCGACACTGGTTCTACAGCTACAATAGTTTGATTTGGTAATGAAAGGTAGAATATTGCTTCTAAAGATTAAAAAAGAAGAGGGGTGATATAAATAAAAAGTGAATATAAAGTTTGAGAAAGATGAAAATTAGAAGCTTCCCTTACTGTATGTCTCATGACATGTGGGTAATTGTTCTCGAGGAAGAGTCTATATCGGGAACTGACTTCATACAAAGACATAGTTGTCTGGTTTGGCTAGCTTCACAGTCTATTACCAGGAAAACTCTATGCACTACATGACAATTACTACACCAGAGGTTAAATTTATAGTGACAACAGGGACAGTGGTCGTTGTATCATCAAGAAGTGAAATACTCATACTAGTAATTACTAGCAATAACTATATATCTACTGACAGGGGTGTAGTGGATTCAAACACCCTGGCACATCCTGGCAGATTGAAAGTGGAGGAATTACCGTGGATTTCCTGTACTTGCATCCAGAGGATAGTCTCTCAGCAGTCTTACACAGAATATGTATAGAAACTAAGGAATACCATTGATGTCATACGTGACTTTACTAAGAAAGAACTTAAATCAACTAGTGATCCAATGAATAGTCACTATGATGTTTATGTTATTAAGACGGAACTCCACCAACTGTACACAGTATGTCTGTACAATATCTATAGCAAGAAAGGACAAACTCCAACGTTAAACAGGTGTTGGGAAGGGCCATATGTTGCACTTAAAAGAATCAATGATGTGGTTTACAGAATCCCGAAAGACAGGCAGTTCAAGTCAAAGGTCATCCACCTTGATCATCTTTGAAAGTGATGAATCAACTGGGTAACTACAGAGAAGAATTTGCAATCGAAATGTCAACTTCCTGTGGGTCCTGACGAGACTACTTATAAAGGATCATCAAGAAAGAAACAGCCAATGGACTCACTCTACCACCAGCAACAGGGCAGCCAGTGAATATAAGGGAAAAGAGGTCATCCAATCTGCATACTATTAGTCTCGGAAGAGAAAAACCACCAAAACGATTATAATGTCAGTTATGGGTAGGTCACAGCAAATAACCCAGCTATACATCTACCTACATTGTTTGTTTTAGAGCAAAGCCACAAGCAGCTTGATATTTCAGTAAAGGGAATATAAAGTGACAAAATAGCATAGCGTGTAAGAGTTTCTAATGGCCCTATCTTTTAATTTATAACCATTTGATGATATCGATTTAATATTTTAGTTGATTATTAGGTTTCAGTTTTTCTATTTACTGTAATCTGCTTTACCGATTTATTTTATATTATTTTTAAAATTTCAGTACGGTATGCTTCGTTCGTTGTTAAGCACAAAGCTACACAATGGGTTATCTATGATGGCTCCAACACGAGTATCGAAATCCGGTTTTTAGAGGTATAAATAAGCCCCAATTTTATCATTGAGCCACTAGGGGGCACGGCCAATATATTCTCTTGTTTAGTACGTACTGTATACGTTTTATGTTGTATGCTAAAAAAGGTTCGAATCAACTGAGGTTTATTCTGCCCAAACTGTATAGTATTTCTGTTCCCTATCTCTGTGCTAAATTTATAACGATCTCCCGCTTTTCCCACATATATAAACGCTTTTGGCTGCAATAAGTAGTGCCCTATTTACGTTCGTCTATCAATTCAACCTATGTTATCCTGAGTGTTTCTTAATTATTTTATCCTAATTATTTAAGTAAAAACAACCACTAGTAAGTTTAGGACATTATTTCATTTGTTATATACATTTTAAATTTATAAATATTTAAAAGAACACAAGACAGGGACGTTGAACATAAAGGTAATGATGCACTGGAAAAATCCGAACAACTTTTTTTTGTATTACCTAGATTGTGGCCTAGTGATTAGTGTGTCGAACTGGGGATCGAAAGGTCAAAGGCTCAGACTCTCTATATTCAGCACACTGACTCGTGGGCTTATTATAAAAATGACAGTCAATCCCGATACTTGGTTGGCGATGGATGTTTCTTCTCTTTGTTTAGTAGTGCGATATAAATTATTCAGGACGGCTATGGTCATTTAGCTCACATGCCAGGTGAGTAAGTGCAGTTTAAGTTCAAAATACCCTACATTCTTTATCCCTCCTTTTTTTAATATACATGCAACCAGTTATTCCATTTTTATTTATTTTTTCAAGCACGTTTATTTTTTTGTTAATATATTTAGTTAATTTGAAATTAAAATTAAATTATTTTACAGTATGTTTTTTGTTTTGAATTTCGCGCAATGCTACTCGATGGCTATCTGCCTAAGCCTAATTAAGCATCACCCACCTTTTACAGTCGAATAGTGGGAGTGACAGTCACATCATAACACCCCCATAGCGGACACGTACTTGAAGGGGATTCGGACCTGCAAATTGCGAGTCGAGCGCCCTAACCATCAGGCCATTCATGTTCCATAAATCATTCGATTGAGAATGTTAATGAAATCAGAGTCATAAAGTACGATCACTTTTATTTTCTTAGCAAAGGTTTATAAATAAAATACAAAGTTCCATTTTCTAAATGGATACAGTTCTGTACGTCTCAATGGTTATAAAATCTTGTTTGAATCTAAGTTTCAAATGGACAGCAACTGCCTGTTGTAGAAACCTACAAATGTAGATGACGACGTTTCGAAAGTCTTCCACCTTTCGTCTGCCTAAACAACCTATCAAAAATCTTGTTTGTTTTGGATATTCATGCATATTCAAGGGCTATCTGCACTAGCTGTCTATAATTCTGAACTAATAGACTAACGAGAAGACATTTTCTGAACAGAATCCATCCCCAGCTCTTGTCTGACCGAATACTGGGGTTTGATCTTCTCCCTTATACTGCACTCTAGGTCCCAAAGTGGGAAGCGCGGTTTATATTGTTACGTATCTGCTTGTTCGTCAATTTCCCGCAGAAACCCCCTCCCCGAGAAACCTCAGCGATACAAGTCCTTTCCTAACTAAAACCAGTCCACTCCCTCTCGATACAACCCTGCAATACACAGAATTTCCACAGTCACTCCAACTTAACTACTTCTATAAACACACGCTATAATTCACAGCGATTCACACACTTTACTTACGGTGCCTACTGTTCGCTTGACTCAATTATTTCTCTTCAATCTATCTCCGGCTTATATACTAAAAAAGAGGGCGCCTGGAGCAAACTAGTTTCCAGGAAAATTCATGATCCTTGGAGAATCTCATCACGTGTTACCAGAGTCACGTGACTTCCGCTGTCGTAACAATATCTTTCTTCTGGTAATGGGCCTCTATCGTTGATCCGCAGATCCTGTTTACCACAGTAATAACCGCTGGGCCACAACCATATTAAGGACATTAATATTTATTCACCACATCGATATGTAATCTACGATCATTATCATTAGGGAACGTTTCAATACATATATTGAGTCGATAGTGTGTACCTCGTCGTGTATTTGATAGTGTGTACCTTACCGTATATTTCAAAGGAGGTCATTCATACATTTGAATCATGGAGGTTAATTGTTTGAAAACATATTTTGTAAATTTCCCTATTAAAGATACGGTAAACTCAACTTTAAAAACACTGTCAAAACTTGAAATATACGTTACTCACATTATCAATCACAGCCCCAACAAATGTTATTTCTGACAATTAAAATGTCTGAATAATAAGTAACAAAAACAGTTATTGAAATAAGTTAACTACAGATGTTTTCCCCAACTCCCCTGTGGGTCAGCAGTAAGTTTACGGACTTACAACGCTAAAATCCGGTGTTAGATTCTCCGCGGTGGACACGGCAGATAGCCCAATGTGGCTTCGCGCTAAAACAAACACACATTTCTCTGAAATTCGTCCATTGTAGTTCTAAAAAAAAGCATTTGAGATCTGTCTTTTCTATCCCACAGGTCACTGACCAATAAGTTTTTCATTCAATACCGGAACTCATTTGGACTGAACAATGAGAGACAAAAGACCCCCGTGAAACGCTATTTACATGTAACAGTTTTAATAGTAAAAAATACCCTAGCGGCTATTTAGTTGTCGCTTGTTGTGCATGTACAGATGTGAAGAATACTGTTCTTACTTCTATGACTTTTCTGGCGGCGGGTTGGATTTTCTTATTAACTTCTCGGAGGTCTGGAATCTACCCCATGGGGAAGGCTGACATAGCCTGGTGGTTAGGGCACTCGAGTTCAAATTCTGTCACTGAACAGGCATGCTCTTTCAGTCGGTGGGGATTTATAATGTAACGGTCAATAGCACTTTTCGTTGGTAAAAGAATAGCCCAACAGTTGACGGTGGGTGATGTTGACTAGTTGCCTTCCCTCTAGTCTATCACTTCTAAATGAGGGGCGGCTAGCACAGATAGTCTTCGAGAAGCTTTGTGGGAGATTCAACAAACAATTACTACTTCCTTGTATATGTACTGATGACTCAACTGTATTGTTTAACCAAATAACATGGAGTACAAGATTTCTGTATACTAACATGATCACAGGAAAGTAAAAGGGCTTGAGTTATACCTGTTGAATTCTGAACAAAATCACATGAGAGATCGAAAACCGTCGTTTAATACTCCTTCACCATTAATCAACGTGTAAATAGTACCAGGAGTTGACGGTAGATGGTGTTGACTAGCTGCCTTCCCTCTTCCTTTTTTTATCATTTTAAAACTTATGGACGGCTAGCGTAGATGCCTTCGAGAAGCTTCGCTCGATATTTAACAAACAGAATGACATTAAGCCATCACATATATATCGCAAACGATCTCACAATAAAGATACGAAAACACCTATTGTTACCGTACTACATGAACCGCTCTGGAAACAATAATATTTCCTTGCTGGTTAATTCAAATAGAATAATAAATAATGTCGTGTTGTTGTTATTATTTCTTACCTGATTTGTAAATGATAAGTTTGGTAATAATTAGAATCCACCTGCGTAATCTGATACACAGCCTAACATTGGTTCATGAAAATTGATGACGTAGGAAACGATCTCTTGGGGATGAAACGGAAACCCGCAGATAACATGGTGGTCATCACCTACATCTGCGAAACGAAAGCAGAAAAATGACCTTGATATTATATAGTGTTTCAAAGTCTGTCGTCTTGTAACGGGCATAAATTTGTTGCGTTTGCTTAGCAAATAACTGAGCGATTGGCATTAATGCACGTGTTTTAACCTCAACCCCAGATACTTGTATTGGATTACTATTTATTTAAGTACATATGTTTCTTTCATTAAACAAGAGGTTACCATGTAATTGTACGGTCTATCATGAAATAAAGTGTGAGAAAGTACAGAATTTTCTTTCATTAAACAAGAGGTTACCATGTAATTGTACGGTCTGTCATGAAATAAAGTGTAAGAAAGTACAGAATTTTCTTTCTTTCATTAAACATGTTAACTTTTTTATTGCGAAATTTTCTGAATGCAGCCGAGAGACTGGCTGTTGAGTTTAATCATTCGTTAAACCTGTTATTAGTTTACTCAACTTTACGAAAGCAGAAGACCGGTAACTGGAAGACAAATTACAACTAACGTAATACTTACAGAGAAACTTTATTCGTTTTACCAACAGTCACTATTACTTCTTATACGTTAAAGATCGTAGAAGAGAAATCCATAAAGCTAATAAAAATAACTGTTCTTCCATAACCAAATATATCGGTATATTTTACGAAGGTTACAAGCATTTGTGTTATACTTACACTTTATTTCATGACAGACCGTACAATTACATGGTAACCTCTTGTTTAATGAAAGAAACGGTTTCTTTCATTAAACAAGAGGTTACCATGTAATTGTACGGTCTGTCATGAAATAAAGTGTAAGAAAGTACATATGTTTCTTTCATTAAACAAGAGGTTACCATGTAATTGTGCGGTCTGTCATGAAATAAAGTGTAAGAAAGTACATATGTTTCTTTCATTAAACAAGAGGTTACCATGTAATTGTGCAGTCTGTCATGAAATAAAGTGTAAGAAAGTACATATGTTTCTTTCATTAAACAAGAGGTTACCATGTAATTGTACGGTCTGTCATGAAATAAAGTGTAGAAAAGTACATATTGTGTACTTTCTTACACTTTATTTCATGATAGACCATACAATTACATGGTAACCTCTTGTTTAATGAAAGAAACATATGTACTTTCTTACACTTTATTTCATGACAGACCGTACAATTACATGGTAACCTCTTGTTTAATGAAAGGAAACCTGTGTACTTTCTTACACTTTATTTCATGACAGACTG